TTCTTGCTCATTTCGTTCATTTTTAAAAATTAACTCAAGAGATTGTAAATTATATATTAATTTAATGAGAAACGATATCATTATGGATGTCGATGTTTCCTATCCAAGAATATGGTGTGCCTTGTTCCAGTATTCTTTTATGTAACTCACAAGTATTTTAAAATTTTCTTCATACAGATCTTGCACATTCCTTACATTTATTGCTAGACATTTTATCTTCTTTTGGTAGTCATTATAATTGAGTATATCTTTTCATTAAATCTAACTGGTGGTTGTGTGTATATATGAAAGCAATTTTAATTAGGTACCCTGCCACTTTACTGAATTCACTTACTGTCTGTAATAGCTTTTTAGTTGATTATCTTGGAGTTTCCAGGTTTTACAATCATACATGCAGATAGTGGTAATTTTAATATCTTCCTTTCCAGTTTTTAAACTCTATTTTTCTTTTGTCTAGCTTTATGTATGCATGTATTCGTTCTTTTGTTTTCCCTTTTATAATTAATTTCTGCTTTTATTTCTTCCTTTCTGTTTTTGTTTGGTTTACTTGTTCTTTCCCAGATTTTTTTCAGTTGCATGTTTATTTTCTTTTGAGCACTATTTTAGTTTTATCCTGGAGCTCCTGATGTGTAGAATGTTCATTGTAGTGATTTTATAGATACTCTGAAATTTTGGTTTGGATTTCTTACTCATCAAAGGATTGTTTGGGATTTTTTTTTGAGTCCTATTCTACATATTTTATTCACTACATTTACATGACAGTATGTTGATTATGTTAATTATACTTTTGAGGGATTGATTGCTCTTTATGGGTTAATACATAGTCAAGGTTTGTGAAAGTTCACATTAGAGTTTACTATTATAAAAGAACTTAGATGTAGTTAGTTAATTGTTAGTACACTATTATTTGTGAACAAAGAAAACCAGTAATGGATTAATTTCATTTGGCGAAGGCAAAAATGGGAATACTTTTGCAGTTTGGAAAACGTAAATTTTGTTTTCGTTGGGTGAGCTGCAAGGTTAGCTGGCAGCTGGCACAGACTAGTCGGCGTGTTCTGGTCTCATGCATCTAGATGGGTGACAGGATCTGTGTCGCGTCCTTCGTTATCTTGGCCATATCTGTATCATTTCCCTTCTCAGAATTTCTCAATATATGTCAGATAGCCATAATATGCTAAGGTTTTCTTTATCTTAATTTTTTAATTACTGATCTGTCATGGACTAAGAGAGATGAATTACTAGTAGTTTCTTACTACTATGTTTTTCTTTTATTTCTCCTTATAGCCTCTAGTTTTTACTTAATATTGTTGCAAAGTTGATTTGATCCACAGATATTCATAACTATTCATCTTTATCATGAATTGTAACCTTTAACATTATAGAGTTCCCCTCCACCCAATCTGGTTTAATACATTTGGGCCTGTGTTCAGCCTTATCTGTTATTAAGAAGTTGCTTTTTGTTTGAGTCATTTTACTCACCCTTGTATCTTCAGCCCTTCTGAATAATTTTATCTTTGTTGTAGGGCTTTTATGTAGCATAGACCTGAGTTTTGCTTTGTGATTTAGTCTGAAATTTTTTTTCTTTTTAAAATGTTTTTATTTATTGACTTTAGAGAGAGAAGAAGGAGAGGGAGATTGATTTGGGTTCCACTTATTTTTTTATGCATTCATTGGTTGACTCTAGTATGTGCCTGCAACCTTGGTATATCAGGACGATGCTCTAACCAAGTGAGCTACCAAGCCAGGGATGGCTCGTTTTCTCTGAATATCTTGAGTTTAGCCATTTACATTTTTTATTTTATGTCTGGTCTTAGTTCATCCCATTATTTTGCTATACCTTCTGTATTTATACCTTTTAACAATATTCTACTACTATACAGATTGCTTGCTTGGTTTTCAGTGTGTATTTCTTTTGATAATTAGGAAGGTTTATTTTTATTCTAATAGTTACCTTTGTAATGCCCTGATTGTATAATACCCTCAATTCTCTATTTAGCCAGACTTTTAGTGTCTGTAATCCTCTTCTATAAGTAATGACTGATAAGCTGGACTTCATTAAAATTAAAAACTTCTCTGCAAAAGGTAATGTCAAGAAAAATAAAAGACAAGCCAGAGTGGGAGAAAATATTTGTAAAAAAAACACATTTAATAAAGGATTGTTATATAAAGTATACAAAGAACTCTTAAAAATAAGGAAACAAACAGCCTGATTTAAAAAATGGGCTAAAGACCTTAATACACAACTCACCGAAGAAGATACACAGATAGCAAATAAGCATGTGAAAAGTTGTTCCACATCATTTGTCATCACGGAAATGCAAATTAAAATGAGATACTACTACATATATATTAGCATGGCCAAAATCTGGAACACTGACACCACCAAATGCTGGTGAGGATGTGGAACAACAGGAACTCTCATTGTAGGTAAGAATGCAAAATACTGCCACTTTGTAAGATAGTTTGGCAATTTCTTATGAAGCTAAACATACTCAGCTTGTAATCCAGCAGTCTCACTCCTTGGTATATACCCAAAGGTGCTAAAACTTACGTGCACAGTAAAACCTTCACACATATGTTTATAGCAGCTTTATTCATAATTGCTGAAACTTGGAAGCAGCTAAGATGTCCTTCAGTAGGTGACTGGATAAATTGTGATCCATCCAGACAGTGGAATATATTACTCAGCACTAAAGAGCTATCAAGCCATGAAAAGGCATAAAGGAAGTTTAACTGCATATTACAAAGTGAAAAAAGCCAATCTGAAAAGCGTGTATATTATCTGATCCCAACTGTATGACATTCTGGAAAAGGCAAAATGGAAACAGCAAAAAATCAGTGGTTGCCAAGGTTGCGGGGTAGGGGGAGTGATATAGGAGGACAGCATGGAAAGGGATAAATTGATGGAATATAGAGGATTTTTAGCAGTGAATATACTTGATATGAAACCATGATGAATACCCAAATAATGCATATACCACCAAGACTGAACCATAATGTAAGCTATATATGTTGGGTAATTATGAGTCAATGTAGATTCATCAGTTCTAACAAAATATACTGCCCTGTTGGGGGGATGTTGAAAATGGAGGAGGCTGTACATGTGCTGGGCCCAGGGGTGCATGGGAAATCTCTATCTTCCTTAATTTTGCTATGAACCTAAAAAAAACTGCTCTAAAAGAAGTCTTTAAAAAAACCCAAAACGCACAACACAACTGTGGCAAGGAGGTAGGATAGTAGCAGGTGTCTTTCCCATAGGAAGCCCAGAGCCTGGTCTTGATGCTTTCTTTCAAATGACTATTCCTGTTCCTTCTTTTTTCTCTCTCTAGGGATTTTAAAATGGATATTGAGTGACCCTGAAACCAAGATAATATTAAACTGAGTTCCAGACTATACCATTACAATAGCTTCAAGTGTATTAGTCATATCGAGCTAAATATAAGTTGTTTGTGGCCAGGAAGGTTAAGTCTTTCATCATGTGCTTGAGAAGGATGGTGGTTGATTAAAAACTTGTCACATGGGTTCAGAATCAACTCAAAGTAAAGCTACCTGTCCTGATTTGGAATGCTAGTTGCTCTTTTTTCTTAAATTCAGCCTAAAAGAGCATTATATACTAATGGACTCTCTTAAGGGCTGTTGCTAAATCCTGCCACTGTGCCAGAGCAACTGACAATACACAGGACTAATTTAAAGATGCTTTTTAGGAGTGTGAATTCCTAACCCACACACACAAACCTGTTAAAAATTTTACTCTTCAAAACAAATTATATCTAAGTTTTAAATTAAGTAGCAAATTATATTTATATTTAGGTGAACAGAACATTATCACTCACTATTGACCCTGTTCCCTCTCACACCTGTGACTATATTCTGAATCCCCACTTTTATTTGAGTCAGACTTCTAATTTTCTGAAGCTTACATTGTATAATAAATTACACACTGCTAACATACTCATAACTGATTTTAGGCTCAAAAGGCCCAAGTGTCCAATATACTTTTGTGGGCTTTGATGCTTCATATGGAATACATAAGGAATGGACAAATATCCCACACCACTACAGTTATATGCCTACATCTGGAGGGCTCTTAGTAAATAAAATGTAATGGTGATTGCAAGTCTGATGTAAGTGATAACATGGTTCAATGAAGCTACAAGTATACATCAAATTTATATTTAAAACAAAACACCAAAACCATTTTACTGAAAACTAGTTTTATTTTAAAATTAAGTGCATAGCACTCATCTAATTCCATTGGTGTAGACTTTAGCACCATACTCGCCATTTGCAATTAATGTCATAACAGATACATTTTGGTTTGCAGTCTGTATTTGAGTAGTGTGTACTTAGTGGACTTTGGTAAAGCCCTTTATACATATCATTAATCTCTTCACAGTACATATTTAATGATGGTCCGGTAATCTCAGGAAAAAAAAAAAAAAGACCTACTTTAAAGACTAATCAATAAATTAAACAAAATGAAACCCGCATTAACTCCCCCCACCCACATCCCTCAAAGCTAGCAGTTGTGAGTTGTATTTATACAGACACCTAATGTTTAAAAAATAGTTCTGGTTCTCCAAACACCCCATCCCACCCCATCCTGGGTATGCAGCAATAGTAACCAATTATTTTATTCTGTCCCCCCCCCAAATTAATCCAGTGTTCTTTAGCTTTTTTTAAATATAAACTGGGAAAGTGTTATTATAAGCTTTTTTAAAAGGCATATTCTATAACAAGAATGACATTTAAACCAATCAATAAAAGCATTTGACAATACATTAAATTACCATAGGCACCAGTTGTTGTTTCAAGTTGGGATGTCTATCCCACTATCTTACATTCATAATATTATTGAGGTAGTTAAAATACTGAAAATTGGACTCCAGGTTGCTGGGTTCTGAATGTGAATATAAAAGATATATTCTTTTGAACCCACTTTCCTCCAAATAATTCAAGTTCTCTTGAGGTAAGAACTACCAAAATCCAATTAGCAGCCTTCTATAAAGAGGAAAAATGATGACACTTTCAGAAAACAATTTTCAGGCGTGAAAACTGCCATGTGAGTGTTCTTACCTGAGTGGTTTTTAAATTTTTATCTACCAGACTAATAAATCCATAACATGCCCTATATACTCTAATTATAAAAGTTACCTTTGTTTTAAGGAAAGGACATTCTCTAAGAATTCACTCTGGCAGAAGCCACCCACCCACACTTACCCACTGGAGCCATCTGGATCAGTTTTCGAGTCCCTTCCCTTCCTAACAGAAGCCATTTGGCTTAATTACTGAGACTCCCGCTGCATACCCATAACATCTTCTATAATAAGTTTGTCTTCAATGCATACTGTGGCAGTCGCACACCTGCCATGCAATTTCCCTTCTATTCAAGTGCTATCTTAAAAAAAAAATACAAACAAAGACACACTTTACTAATTTTTAAATCAGAAAGCTTCCCTCCACCAAATCTCTGTTCTCCCACAGATAAGAGCACAATGTATATAGTTTGTTATTACATGATTTTTTTTTTTTTTTTTTTTTTTTTACTTTTTAAGTTGACTCCCTCCAAACTCTTTACCCCCAAATTGCCCTTGCTGTAATGATTTGTTATTGCCGTTTTCACTCATTACCAGTACAGTGAAAAGTCCCCGGGCAGTTTCTGGGGCTAATCTATTGAAAATGGCTACTGAAGTTTAGTAATCAACATCTCTGTCTGCTTATACTGACTAGCTGGATACAAAGGTTGCCTATAAAACCTGTCTTCCATGTAACAAAGTGCTATTCTAGCACAACCTGAGAACTACCCTGGCCACATTCCACTTAAAAATAAACCTACAGGACTTAATTCTAGCACTGACATTTTACAGTTATGCCTTCCCTTGAAAAAACTTTAGAGTAAAATAAAATCTGCGTATAAATCAATGATTGCACTGAGAAATGCAAAACCCATACATGTATTATGAATGATAGAAACCACCATTTCAGTCATTCTAAGCTACAGTTATGTTCTCATTTGAAAATACATCCTAGCAGAAGTATTTATTCTATGTTATAAAGGTAGTTCATACTATAACATTCCCAAAACATGTTGCATTACAGTTACGTGTTTCCAAGTAGTACAAATTCCCTGAGTTAAGTGTGTTTTAATTCTAAAGATTTGAGGTTGATCACTTAGGGAAAAAACAACAAAAATTTATGGCCATGATTTTAAGAGATCTACTCCACCCTTAATTTTAGTACATAAATCCAGGTACCTATACACTCTGTGACAGGAGGTTATATAGAATCATCGAAATTCTTTTTTTTTTTTTGTTTACTGCACAAATTGGTAGAGCATAGTGACTCATAACTTTAAACTTAGTCAAAAATTCATTTGTGGATTAGAATATAATGCAAAACTGCAAAATAAAAAAAAAGGAACTCTTCAAAAATTAATACTGTACGTTTCCTTCATAAAGAGACCGTTTGGCAAGTCCACAGACAAACATTAATCTCCGACATACAAGCCAACATTAAGCCCAGAGCCTAACCACAGGTCAAATCTCAAAATGACGAAATGGATGGAGTCTGCCCAAATTTTCTGTTGTAGTGAATATTTTTGAAATATTTGGACCATCAGCTAGGGTCTGAAATTTTTGTCACGTTAGGTATTTAACAGAATTTGACATACATACTGTTAAAGTGTTTGCAGTGTTTGTTTAGTTCTTCCAAGTATTCATGGTGCATTCAAAGTGATACTCAGTTTTCCTGGTGCTGCTATTTGAAGAGTTCTGATGCAATCTGAATTCCTTTAGAGGAGTTTACAAAAAGCTTGTCCCAGAGCTTCAAGTCACAAAACAGTCTGGATTAGGTGTTACCTTCACATAAAATCACCTTTCAAAACATGGAGTAATACAAGGGTAATGTTCATTTATCTGGTAACTCCGGTTATAAGAAACATTCAGACAGGGCTTAACTTCTACTGGTATTGCCAATGACATGCCAACACCGGTCTGCACGTGCCCCAGGCCCTGAACACTAGTTTGGAAGCCAGCAGGACATGTCTGTAGTGTGTAAGATGAGGAGTGTGTGGTAGATACGATCTGCTGACAGCTTGGTTGTTCTGCTACAGGATGGCGATACTGTAGTGAAGTCTGATGAGTCTGATGGAGATACTGAGGTTGCTGAAAGTGAACTGGCCGCGAGGGCTGGGAGGTTGTCTGGAACACACTTAGTTGAGCTGGCTGAGGTACTGCTTGTCCTCTTTGCTTGTTTGCTTCTTTCACATCATTATCATGAGCACTGAAAGGAAACTTAATGTTACTTGAGAAGAATTTGTAAACAAGTCAAGCACCACCCCCAACTCCCCCATGGCCAACTCCAAAGACTGCATGCTATACCTAGATAGCAGTCACTGTAACCATAATTTCAACAACAGTGAGATCTCACTCTTATCCTTCTAAAAGCCCCTTCCCTTGGTACAAACCTAGGGAACTGGCTGCTAGTACCGTTAAAGGTTATGTCTAGCTTGGGAGATTATGTCCACAATAAGCACTTAAATAAGCACTTTGGGCCTGGGGCCCAATAATTTAAAGATGTGGAAATGAAGAACAATGCAAGATTTGCCTGGACTGATCGCATAGTCATGGGCTCACACAAGAGCAGCTCCTCTCCTTTTCATATACTCAGAATCATACCAGCAATGACTACCTCTACCTGGACAACAGCCAAAGGGGCTCCCTTTCCACTGAGCATTGCTCTTACAGCAGCTTGTTCATGGCAGTAAAAGCTGTCAGAACAAATACCATAAAAGCTCTGTGCTTTTGAAAAGGTGCTTTTAGGGCCCCTTATACATGAAGGAAAACATTAACAACAAATTACAAACACAGAACAAGGCTTACACCAACAGCCGTTCAATGCACTGCACTAAGAAATCCCACGAGTAAGCAGTAAGACGATGCAGTCTTGTAGGCCACGTTGGAGAAAGACGAAGTATAATCCTTGAAGAAGCCACACATGCAGCAGCTACTAAAGAAGGTGCATAATTTAGAAAGGCATAATCTGTGGAGACATCAAAAATGAACTTAAGCAACAGAATATACAAGTCACAAGCTCACAAGTCACTTACTGGCATCCACAGTGACCCACCTTGCAAAGATACTTCCAGGAAGTAATCTGCATACTTGGCCATGTAGAGTTTAGTTTTTTCCAAGCAAATCATTGGCCAGCCATCATGAAGATCTGTTTCATGTACTGCTTCAGAGAGATAATATTCGATGAAATGAGCGGCTGTTGGAAGGCAGAGGTTCCATTGAAAGGTTTCTAATAATAATAGTTCCATATGTAGCAAATTTTGTTTTGTTAATACTAGATTCATATTAGTCATACAACCCAGGCTGTTGAGCTGCTCTAGCTTAGGCACACTATCTTCTTTTTCTTCGAATTTACCTTATAAAAAAGGGGGGGAAAATAGAGACATTAGGCAAATGATATTATAGGTCTAATCAGTTAAATGCAATTTGCTGCCTTTTACTGCAAAGATTTAGATGCAAAGATATTCTTTCCCCTACCTTGGGCAGGTACAATTGTGCCAGAACCCTGTGGTTGTCATATTTCCATGTTTTTTCTCCCAGTGCCTCTGCCCCTCACCCTTCACCCTCCCCGAAAGTAGCTGGAACATGTAAACATTTTCATCTAAGTCCTACTGTGTAACGAAAAAGTGCCAATGAAAAATTATGTTGTCAAATCTCACCAACTGAATCTTTTCAACTGAGTCAACTTCTTTGGCAGGGGGTAGGTAGTGGTTGGTGGAAGAGAATTATTTTATTTTTGAATAGAAGAAAGTTTAAAGGACAATGTCACAGAGTTATCTAAAACCAAAAGTAGGTGTCAAGTGTTGTCATCTCAGCATACTTTCAGCACAATCTCAATTCTGGAGAGAGATGCACTGAAGGAAAAAAACCTGGATGAATATATAACACTAGCATTTTCATTCCACACATGAAAAAACGCTGTCCCTCTTCTTCTGAATTCACCAAATTCAAAACAGAAACCTAGCTAAGTCTGTTAGGGAAAAAAAAGGAGGGGGGACTACTTTATATGAACTTTTATATCCCCTTATTCGAAGCAGAACAGGAGTAAAAATCTGATGGCAGAACTTCATTATTTGAAGGCATTCACTTTTTTTCAGCAAATACTCATCTATATGTACAAGGTAAGGAATATATTTTATAATTTCCTCTCCAGCCCCAGAATAATTTTTTAATAGAATATGTACCATATTATACTTTAAATTCCAAGCAAGCATTTTAATATATATTATTCATTTTAGGTATTTCTAGAACTCAGGGCTGAAGAAAATTCAAACTACCAAGTACTATTATGATTTTCCAGATGCACCAATAGAATCAAAGAACTGTCTTCAAGTCTCTTTGGGTCTTTATTCTCTGGGGGCCTACAGAAGGTGGGAGATTATTACTAAAGCCTTCTACCTTTCTAGTATTATGTTCTATTTTATAATAAGGTTTAAAAGTCATATTATATTACAATTACTATGGATTTCTCACAATAGCTTTTACACTTGTTCAAAATGATAGTTGTTAGAATGTTACATATTACTATATAAAAATTTTTTGTTCTACTATTTTAACTATTCCAGTAGATTTTACCTATTTAAAAACATGTTTTGAAGAGTCAGAATGACTGCCAAAATAGTAGCAATCAGATGAGTTTCCCTGTGAAGTTTCTCTTCCAGAAAAGACGGGTTTATAGCACACCACTGAAGCTGCTCCAAAAATGGTAGTGGCCAGGGTCACTCAGCCCAGATGCTCAGTGCACTGGAGCCAGTGGGGTTTGTTCAAGTTGGCCTGCCTTAGGGCTAAGGGGGAAAAGTGCTGCTATCTACCTTGATCTTTGCTTAGGGAACTGGGGGAAAAGGTTTTGTCTCCTATGGCAGAAGATTCTAAGATCACAACTTCAAGAAGAAAGCCCAAGGAAGCAAATAATCTCTGCTCCAGAAATTTCAAACTTCTTTACACTTAAACTGCTCTTAGCTGAATATTGCTGCAGGTATGAGTTAATTAAAAAACAAACAAACAAAAAAACAACGTAATTCAGACTTTTCATAAATTTAGATAGCTCTTCCCAATTCAAACCACAGCAAGGTGAATCTCACAGGTTTTCCCAATAGTATGTATTTTGTACAGCTCAAAGCACTAAAAGTGGTCTCTATGACATAGTAATCTAGCATCATCACTGCATAAAGATATAGGAGGAACCCACTGTTCTCAATATAAGAGACTGGAATTCTTCAGAAGGAGAATGACCTATGAATTGAGTTCAGTCCCTTTGGATGAATCAAGGCTTTCAAAGTGCCCTGCCATTTGTGTAGCCGCAACAATATTGGCAGTACACCTCAAAGAAATACTGTAAAAATAATGAGTTTGTATCATTCTTGAAGTTCCTTTTGGAGAAATTAATATATCACAATTCAGTTTAATTAAAGGATCAAAAATGTTTTAAATTATCTCCTTGAAACTTTCAATACTGAAAACAAAATTCTGTATGACCAATTTCACAGCTCAAGAAACCAAGATAGTGAGGTTGGTCAATTCATTTAAGGTCAAATAAATTGAGCTAAACTAAAAATGGAAGCCAAAAGGAAGACATATATTTGAATTCCCATATCTGTACTCCTACATCAAAGTATTGCACTGGGTTACATGGGGACCACAACTACCAGAATAGAGAGACTTCTATATTATTAAGCATCTATGGAGTTTCTATACTTATAAAAGTACTCAGCTATTACCAGTGTGAAAGCCTTTGTATCTTGATTTACAAAACTAATAATAAACTGCACTTTATATAAATTAACATACTTGGGCTTTTTTAACCCTTACCTGAGGACATTTTTTTCAATACTTTTAGAGAGTAAGGGAAAAAGAGAAAAATCGTTGCAAGAGAAAGGCATCGATTGGTTGCCTCCCATATGCGACCAGACCAGGATTGCACAGGCTTGCGCTGGGATGAGGTATGAACTCATAACCTAGGTTATGTGCTCTCAATGGGAATTGAACATGCAACCTTTAGGTTATGGGACGACACTCCAACCAACTGAGCCATACAGGCCAGGGCCATACTTGGGATTTTAATTCAGGTTTAAGTCTGTTGGAACTTCTTCATTATATATAGGGATATAAATACTCAGATACATGGATATTAAAGGATTTCAAAGTGTGTGACAGCATTAAAGAGTATCTGCATTCATAGCCACAGTTTTTGTTGTGCTAAATGCTATGTGCATGAGTATTTTAAATCTACTTACCCACAACACCAAATATAGATAACAAAGCTCAGTTTCTTCAAATGAAAGGAAATACCAGAAGCCATGTGATTCATATTGATAAAGACCCCAAACAGGAAATAAGGGCACAGGAAATTCACTTCTGCTTCCCAGAAAATAAAGAATTAGAGGACACAGAAACAAAACATCGGGTTGTCTTTCCTTTATAGGAAATGCTCAAATCAGCCCTGGAAAGCAGCATATTTTCAAAGCCAGCAGTGAGTGGCAGGTATGTGGGACTAGGGCAAGGATCAGATGTCATTATGAGCTCTTCCAACCTACATTCTGTTCTTTTACTATAAAGTAGGGAAAAAAAGTCATTTGTAATATAACCAAGAACTCTCAGCAATTTGTAAGACTACAGAACAATGGGTAAGGAATAGGAAGAGACAATTCACAGGAAAAAAGAAAGTTCTATTCTCATTAAAAATTAAGATATAAGTCAAATCAACTGTGAGATACAATTTTTCACCTATCAGATAGTAAAGTAAAAAGCTCTGTCAACCCAGTACTGATGAGCAAGGGAAAACAAGCACTTGTCACAAATTTTTACTACTAAAAGCCTATATAATCTCACTTTTGGCTTCATCTTGACTCCAAGATCATTTTTAGCTACCTAAGATCTTGAGCAAATTATCACAAGCCTCATCTCCAAGCCTGCTTCCATGCTCTTCGCAAGTTCAATGCTGATCACAGAAGCCAAGGAAAGCCAGGGTATACATGTCAAAGGGTGGGGATTTGAGAATTTCTCAGGATAAACCAGCCTTTTCTGGAATGAGCCAGAACCTTAGGACCAAAGATCATGAAACAGTTTGTGGAAGAGTAATCACAGCAGTGCTTTTATGTTTCAATTTCCTACCTGCTTTTAAACATATTATCCCATTTGATTCTCAAGACAACTTTAATTTCATTTCATAGAGAAATAACCTGAGACTCAAAGGTTGTTGAAATTCATATTGCTAACAAGAAATTCAAACCTAGGCAATTCATTACTATAATTTCCACTCTACAACACTATACACCACCCTCCAATCAGATAACCTATAGGCCCTTTCTTCCTACCTCTACACTCAAGCAGCTGGATACACATTAGTACCTAGAATTTACAAGCTGTGCTCCATCTTTAACCAAACTACTGACAACTTCCCAATTTCTTTATATGACTAGAATCCAGCTCTCCGCTGTAAACTCTTCTTCACTTTTATGCAACAGGCTGCCCACCCCAAAGGAGGGAGCAGCTGGGGAGGGGGACATACAGAATTCAATCATTCTGTGAGCAGAGAAGCATTATTTGAATAAAGTTTATGATAACTAACTGGAAAGCTGCCATTGGTATCCAAACGTAAGAAGATAGAGTGTAAAAATATAAAAAACACTAGGATGAACTCCACAAATATAAAACAGACACCAAGTCCTGAAAACAGGCTACTGGTTTGTAAGTATCCTAAGCACTTCTGTTGTAGTACAGTTACGGACTGGAGGGAGGAGAGATTGTAGGTGGCTACTGAGAGCCATCTTCTCTGATTCCTTGCACTGTACGGAACTCACAACTTAATTCTTTTGAGCACTGCTTACTTGGGAGGGTCTGAGACTCAGGTGGATACCTATCTCACACTTCCCCATTCTTCGGTGGAGAAGAATAATGTAGAAGTAATTCTTCGTCCTCAGGGAAAGAGGGGTTAGGAGGTGGTAGTAGGACAAAGGGAGGAGGTATCCGACCCCTTCAGTAATAGGTGATAAACAATTCATATTTGAACCCCAGTAAATACAAATCCTAAAGCCAAGCTCTTTAAAAACAAACAAAAAGTAACTACATACTACAACATAGATTAAATCAAATAATCTTTAATAGAATAAACTGATCATGACCCTAAACTAAAAGTAATAGATAATTAGTTTAGTTTTTAGATAAAACACAGGAACAATCTGGAAACTCTATTCCATCCAACCTGAGAAAGTAGGCAAATAAAGTAACCTTTCCCAAAATTGTGAAAATTACAGGAACTTGGGACCAATCCCAAGCATTGCATGGTGGCCAGAATTCTTACTAGATTATTTAAGTAGTGTTCTCAGTAAACTTTGGTAGTAACAAGTATGAATATTTAGTTTAGTAATCCCTAATTCACTTACGAAGTTATCAATTGTTTATGAATATCTAGTGTAGTAATTCATTAGTAAGTTACCAGTAAGTAAACTTTAGTCATAAATGTAAGTTGGTCTATGAACTGACTATGCATCATTCATAATTTCACAGTCCACCAAGAGGAATCTCCCACTTGGCCCACGCTGCATTTTAAGAATTGCAGGTATAGACAAGGTGGGGCTTTGGAGTGGTAAAGGTTAGTAGTGATGGCCATAGCAAGCAAAAATTACTTTTTATCAATCATCCCAAAATTTTAAAAATAACCTAACTTGAATATTTGATTTCCACTATCTTTCTACTGAAAACTGGTCTACCACTAAATGAACATCTGTAGGATAACAAGAAACCATTTTGTTTGAGGATTCTCACACATCTGATGTGTCAAATGAGTTTTTCCAATTTTATGCAAACTATTAAACCACAAAGTGCTTCACAAACAGTGAAAAAACACATAGTGAATTGTACACATGACTGCTTAGGAAGATGAAACCTTAATTAAAGGCTAATTATAAATATACAAGCATTACTTCACTGGCTTTCTGGGTGAGGAGTAGCAGGTGATGTATCAGGATATTTAAGGACAATATCTTAAAGAAGAAATGTAGATTTTTCAAGAAATAGTATTCTGGAAAGAATTTGGCTCAAAGTACATGGGAATAGGGTTAGAATATGAGACTCGAAAGATAGCTGGATCCACATGAAAGGTTCAAAATATTACATTAAGGAGTTTCTGCCTTAATCAACAGGCAGTGGGAAGTCTTCACCAGGGCTGTGTTTATTTATATTCAGCCTGGTCCACAAAGGATTTGTAATAACTTAAAAAAAAAAGACCTTCAAGGAGACAAAATATGCAGTTGAGATTATCATATCAAAGGAAGAATAAGGGTAGGAAAAGAAAACCTGAGAAAAATTTAGTACCAGAAATGATACCACACAGTCTTGCATTTAAGTTTATTTGCAGTAAAAGCACAAAGGTGTTTTAGAAAGAACTCTGGTGGCAGGGTGTATGGGGAATGTTCTTTAGAAAGCAGCTACATTGGAAAGCAGCTTCACTGGTTAGAGGTGAAGGCAGCAGATATTTCTAAATACTACTGTGAGGTAGGGCTTACATTTCTATTGTAAAGACAAATAATATAAAAACTACATAACGGATTCAACTTCAATATCAAATACAATCTTTTCACATTACTATAAGAAGAAAAACTCCATTTCAATTCCCTTACTCATCCTTTATCTTCAGTTGGGATACTAATGATGAAATGAGTTACAGGAAGATGTTAAAAGAGAGGTACCAAAAGGTCAACAGTACAGTCTGCACTGGGTGACAAGTATGGTTATATCTGATCCTACCTTTCAGCCTACCACATGACTATGGCATATGCAAAGGTTTTCACATGTGTAGCAGCTGCATGTGAACCTTCAGTTCTTTAAGCTAACTCAGTATATAGTTATTAGAAGGTATTCTAACAAAGAATATGGTTTTATTTACTTATTTATAGAGAGAGGAAGGGAGGGAGAGAGAGAGAGACAAGTACTGATGTGAAAGAGAAACATCTATCAGTTGTCTCTAGTATGCACCCTGAACAATGACTGGACCCACAACCTAGACAGGCATGTACCAACCAGGAATTGAACCACAGACCTTTTGCTTTGTGGGACAACACTCAACCATCCAAGCCACACTGGTCAAGGCAAGTATGGTACTTTTTAGACAGAGTTTCTCAATCTCAGCTCTACTGAATTTTGGGCCAGATGTTTGTTATGGGGGACTGTTCCACCTTTACTCACTGGATGTTAGTAGCATCCTCCGAGGTTGTAATGATAAACGAAACCATCTCCACATATTGCCAAGAATCCCCTGTGGGGCACAACTGCTCCTGGATGAAAACCACTGCTTTGAGGCAATGGTTCTCAATCGCAAAGGTACATCAGAATCACCTCTGGAATTTTGAAAAAATGAAAAAATTAAAAAAATACCCTAGGCCCCATGATGTAGATTCTGAGTCAGTAGACCTAGTGTGGTCTAGATATTTGTTTCAGAATCTTTAAGACATAAGGCTAAGGAACGTATATTTTAAAAGACTTCTGTCCCTGGATGGTGTGGTGTAGCTGGTTGGAATATTGTCCCAAAAACCAAGGGGTTGTTGGTTTGAAACCCAATGAGGGCACATACTTAGGTTGTGAGTTCAATGCCCAGTAAGGGTGCATATGAGAAGGCAAGCAATCAGTTTCCCATATCGATGTTTCTCTCTCTTAAAAAACAACAACAACAACAACAAAAAACAAAAGGCAATAGGAGTTCAGAGGCACATTTTAATGTCTTGTCAAGAATTATAGTGCCAAGGCGAATTTTCAGCATACACTTTCTGATAATCATAAACTGAAATAAATGGAATTTGGTGATATTTTACCACATTCTACAAAAATTTATTTTATTATAAACAGAAATTTCCAATCACGTAGATCAGATTCATACTTACTTGCTAGAAGCAGACAGGAAAGTGCAACTAAATGCAACTGCTGGATAGAGATGTCATACCGATCCATAAACAGGTCCAGCAAATAGACAGCAAGATGTCGGGCAGAAGGGCAGAGTGTAAAGCGATTGCTCACAATGGCAATCAAGTCAGCAAAATACCTTCTGAGACTTAGTTGAGGGGACTGGCCTTTGTAGGAGGGCAACTTCAGCTCCTAAATCAAGAGTAACAACATTTAGTTAAAATAGCCTATAGGAAAAGTATTCCCACAATGCAAAGAAGACTTTTCCCCCAATATATTAGCGTTACAAGTGCCATAAGTACACTTTTCTTCAGTGAAACAAAAATGAAAAAGTTCAGCGAAAGAATAATGAATGTAATTTTAGACTTAAACTTTTCTTCTTATCCCTAACTACCTCTGATATGACCAATTATTAGTGTTTCTTGGATTATGAAATAGATGTATTCAAATAAAATTTTTAATATGGGAATCCAGTTTTCTCTACCAGGTGTTTTCAGAAAAACATCCTTGCCCAAAACCCAACCATACCACACATACATACTCCCTCCAAGAAGCTCAAAGCTTTTAGTTAGAAGGTAATAGATAAGTGGATATACTCCTAGTAGGTCACATACTATACTATACTTGCAAGGATGTGGAAGATTGAGACTAGCATTCATTCACGAGTATCTTCTAATGTATTTCCTTTTCAACATTTTTTATGATACCTCCTTTGCCATCATCCTATCATAGACGTAAAGTTTTTCCCAGTTATGATTAACACCTCATCATAACTGTTCAATCTCAGAATTAAACAAACTTGTTTTTTAAGATTTAGAAAATTTCTATACTATTAAAGTATTTCTAGAGGACAGAGAAAGATGGAAAGGTTCTAAGTTTATTCTATAAGATAACAGCAATACTAAAACCAATAGGCATCATAACAGAAGCAAAATGGATAGAACCTTGAAAGCACAGGGGGGAAAAAAGGTAAATTGCACTTCAAAATTAAAATATTTTGCCCTGACCAGTGTGGTTCAATTGGTTGGACATCATCCTACAAAGCAAAAGGAAGCGAGTTCAATTCCCTGTCAGGGCACATTCCTGGGTTGAGGGTTTGGTCCCTGATAGGGATGCATATAAGCAACCAACTGATATTTCTTTTCCTCTTTTTCTCTCTCCCTTCCCCTCTCTCTAAAAATATAAATCAATAGAATCTTTTTAAAAAATGAAAATCTTTTGTGCATCAATGGACAGTATTAAAAAAATAAAAAACCCACAGAATGAGGGAGGATACTTGCAAATCATATATCTGATAAGGGGTTAATATCCAGATTATATAAAGAACTCTTGTGGGGTGGTGTGGGGGTAGGTTGGCTTGCAAGATAGCCAGAGTAGGAGGATCATTCTTGCACCTCTTCCCAGAACCACATTGGAAATGAAAATAAAGAAGGGAACAACCACCCAAAATAAACAACCAAAGACTAACTGAAGAAGAAACTTCTAACCAAGGGTGGGCAGGAACCTTCTCAAGACTGGCAGGAAGGGTGGGTACACAAAAGGAGATGGTCCATTCCCATTGGTGGCAGGCTGAGAGTACATCACAGCTGTGGAAGCTTCCCCCTGAGGAGTGGAGCTTGGACCCCAGGCTGGGCTCCCAAGCACAGAGTGCCTGTGCCAGAGTCAGCTGCCCATGTAGCATCTAGTGATGAAAAGCCATGGGGTTTCATCTGCTGGGGAGAGATGGAACCCACTGGAGACAAAGCCACTCTTTTAAGGGACCAAAGCACAGATTTTTCTTTTGCAGCCACTCACCTTGGGCTATGGCAAAGGGAAAATGGGGTGGACTGGAATTGCCTGAGGAAAATATGGAGTAGGAAGCATTGGGCAGAGACGTAGGGGAGCAGCTGCTGGGATTCCTATGCTGGGACAGACCTCCATACCTCAGCAGCCATTTTTCTTGAGAAGAGCAAGCCCGGCCCAGGGGAAAAACAATTACCAGACCCTGTGGGATACCGTTTTCCCACCCTCTGGAATCCTGCTTGCTCCACCCTGCATCTCTCCCGCCCCTCCACACACACTGCATCTAAACCCTTGCTGAGGCAATGGCACACTTGCAGACTCAGGAGGTTTTAGAGAATGGCTTTAGGGTGAGGTCATCCCATACAGTTTCCCAGACTGCCACTTCCCCGTAATGGGAGAGCCATAGAAACACCCTCCTCATTTCTGGCAGACCCAACTCTGGGCTCTGGAGGCCCCACCTGCTTTCCTACGAGGGGTTCCACCCTACTGAGTTCAGGGAAATAATCTGGGACAGAATCAAACATGTGCCTAGGGGTTGGGGGAACATACCCACCATCTATCCTGAAGTTTGAAAGGCACCTTCCCTGGGATATCCAGGGGTCTCATGCTCCTGACTTTATCAGAAGCCCTCTTAGAAAAAGCAACTAGACTAAGACTGATTGATAGCAGGCCACCAGTCAGAGGCAGGTGGAGGCAGATCCTGCAGTGCCTTGGGACATCTGTTGATCCACTCCTGAGCCCTGTGCTGATGAAAAGCCAGTCTTGCAGCAGCACGGCCCATCCTGTGCACAGCCAAGCCCAGAGGAGACAGCCACAAACACTGGATCTCTTGTAGGTTTGAACAGGCTGCCAAGGGCTAGACATGCACTGCATCTGACACTGGCTTACACCGGCTTCAGACAACATCAGCACCATACCCAAAGGGAGACCCCGGCAGGCAGGAATTAAACTCTGCTGATGAATTCCACTTTGTTCTTTTTCATTATTTTTTTCTCTTAGCCTTTTTTTGTGTTTCTTTTATTTTTCTTTTTTCCTCTATTTTTCCTTCATATCTATTTTACTTCTCACTCCATTTTTCCTTCTTCTTTCCTTATTTTTAAATTTTTTGCCATTTTTTTCTATTCCTTACTCTTTTTAAAACATGTTATATTGTTTATGCTATTACAGTTGCCCCAATTCTTCCCCCTTGACCCCTACTCCTAGATACCCCCTCCCCCCACTGAAGTCCCTCAGATGATCCTCACACCATTGTCCGTGTCAATGAGTCACGCATATATATTCTTTGGCTACTATATTCCCTATGCTGTACTTTACATCCTATGACTATTCTGTAACAACCAATTTGTACTTCATAATCATTTCACCCTTTTCTCTCATTCCCCCCCAACCTGCCTCCCATCTGGCAACAATCAAAACATTCTCTGTATTGATGATTCAGTTTCAGTTTTGCTTGTATATTTATTTTGTTTTTCAGATTCAGTTATTGGTAGATATACATTTACTGCCATTTTGTTTTTCGTATTTTTGATCTTCTTCTTAAAGGAGGCTAACATTTCATATAATACTGTTTGGTGATGATGCACTCCTTTATCTTTTTTTTGTCTGGGAAGCTCTTTATCTGCCCTCTGATTCTAAATGATAGCTTTGCTGGGTAGAGTAATTTTGGTTGTAGGGCCTTGCTTTTGTTCACTTTGAGTATTTCTTGCCAAGCCTCTGGCCTGCAAAGTTTCTGTGAAGAAATCAGCTGACAGTCTTATGGGAGCTCCCTTGTAAGTAACTAACTGTTTTTCTCTTGCTGCTTTTAAACTTTCTCTTTGTCTTTAATCTTTTGCATTTTAATTATCATGTGTCTTGGTGTGAGCCTTGTTCAGGACTCTCTGTGCTTCCTGGCCTTTTGTATCTACTTGTATTACCTTCACCAAGTTAGGGAAGTTTTCTGTCATTATTTTTTCAAATAGGCTTCCAATTCTTGCTCTTTCTCTTCTCCTTCCAGCACCCCCATTATGCGAATGTTGGTATGCTTGAAGTTGTCCCAGATGCATCTTACACTATCCTCATTTTCTTTTTCTTTGGGATTCTTTTTTTCTTCTTGCTGTTCTGATTGAGTGTTTTTTACTTTCTTCTATTCTAAATTGCTGATTTCTTGGCTTCATCTACTCTACTGCTCATTTCCTGTAAATTATTCTTCATTTCAGTTAGTTTCTGACTGGTTCTTCTTTATGGTTTCAATGTCTCATTTTATGCTGTTGACGTTCTCTCGGAGTTCATTTATTCTTCCCATAGGTTCATTGAGCATCCTTATAAAGTGTTTTGACTCTGCATCTAGTAGATTGTTTGTCTCCATTTTGTTATTTCTTTTTCTGGAGTTTTGTTCTGTTCTCTCATTTGAACCATGTTTCTTTTTTTCCTCATATTGGCAGCCTCTTTGTATTTGTTTCTATGTATTAGGTAGAACTGCTATGTCTCCCTGGCTTGGTAGAGTGGCCAACTGTCGTAGCTGTCCTGTAAAGTCCAGTGGCACAGCCTCCCCTATCACCCAAGCTGGATACTGAAGGTGTACCCACTGCGTGGACTGTGTACACCTTGCTCTTGTAGTTGAGCTTTAATTGCTGTTGGCAGGTCAGTGGCAGGGATTACCCAGGCTGGAAGCACTGGATGTGACTACTGACCACCACAGAGGATCGGTTGTGCAGGGGCCCTCTCCACAGAGCAGGACTTACTTCAGCAGGGCTCTGGTACCTCCTGAGTCTGCCCCTTGAAAGTGTCACTTGTAGAGATAGTTGGGTGATGGTGCTCCAACATGGCCTGCAGCTGTCCACTAAGTGTGCAGTATTTCGGGCCTCCTGGGAGGTGTAGGCCAAGGTCAGCCACTGCCTGTGTTTTGTCCAGGGCACCCAGCACAAGCTACAAAGCGATCTGCAGATCGCTGCTAATTGTGCTGGGCTTGGAGATGCCCAAACAAGGCCAAGCTGTGAACCAAAGCCATTTGCTAGAGCCAGGCCTGGGGCTGCTTAACAAGAGATACAGGGCTTGCTGAAGTCAGATGAAGCTTTTTGAGAGAATTTAGGAAAATTTAGAGCATGAACTAAGACAAGCCATTTGTATGGAAAAGCCACTGGAATTAGCTTGGCCCAAAAGTTGGGTGGGTTGGAGCCTCAGAGTATCACCAAGGTGGGGAAAACAGGATGAGCCATGTAACGGTGTCTCAGATACAGTGTCCACTTGCTGGCTCTGTGGGGGTAGGGCTCATTAAAGGAATAATGGCCTTTGCCAGCACTTCTGTCTGGGAGAAAGCTGCCCCCACCTCCAGATCATGCCCTGATGCCAGACCATTCAGTTCCTCCCCAAATGCCTCTGGTCCCTGTCAGGCTACTGACCTTACACTGGATCTCAGAAGGAACGAATCCAAG